GATGTTTATTGGATATTATAACCTGTTAGGATAGAAAAAGCTGTTCATTGGATATTATAACCTGTTAGGATAGAGAAAGATGTTTATTGAATATTATAACCTGTTAGGATAGAGAAAGGTGTTTATTGGATATTATAACCCGTTAGGATAGAGAAAGGTGTTTATTGGATGTTATAACGTATCAGGATAGAGAAAGATGTTTATCGGATATTATAAACTGTTAGGACAGAGAAAGGTGTTTATTGTATATTATAACCTGTTAGGATAGAGAAAGATGTTTATTGGATATTATAACCTGTTAGGATAGAGAAAGATGTTTATTGGATATTATAACCTGTTAGGATAGAGAAAGGTGTTTATTGGATATTATAACCCGTTAGGATAGAGAAAGGTGTTTATTGGATGTTATAACGTGTCAGGATAGAGAAAGGTGTTCATTGGATATTATAACCTGTTAGGATAGAGAAAGATGTTTATTGGATATTATAACCTGTTAGGATAGAGAAAGGTGTTTATTGGATATTGTAACCTTTCTCTATCCTAACAGGCTATCCTAACAGGTTATAATATCCAATGAACAAGAAAGGTGTTTATTGGATGTTACAATGTGTCAGGATAGAGAAAGATGTTTATTGGATATTATAACCTGTTAGGATAGAGAAAGGTGTTTATTGGATATTATAACCTGTTAGGATAGAGAAAGGTGTTTATTGGATGTTACAATGTGTCAGGATAGAGAAAGATGTTTATTGGATATTATAACCTGTTAGGATAGAGAAAGGTGTTTATTGGATGTTATAACCTGTCAGGATAGAGAAAGGTGTTTATTGGATGTTATAACGTGTCAGGATAGAGAAAGGTGTTCATTGGATATTATAACCTGTTAGGATAGAGAAAGATGTTTATTGGATATTATAACCTGTTAGGATAGAGAAAGGTGTTTATTGGATACTTTCCTGGACAGACAAAAGATAGATATAAAATGTTAGTTTTACCAAATTGAAATACCTTCTGGACTAATTGAGAGTAAACTTCTACATCATAGCAGTAATTTGTTCTTTGTTTTTTAACTTATGTATTTTCTCTTTCAGACAAAACACTTGTTTGAACACTATCCACCAGGTGTGAGATATATTCAATTTAGACACAGTGGTAAAGACACACAATTTTGGGCTGGACATTATGGAAGTAAAATGTGTGGAGCCAAAGTTACTTTTGTGTTTAACAAATGAAGTTAATGTAACACTTATTAATGAACAAGGACTTAGCTGGTACTATAGCTAAAACTAACCACTCTTATAAGTTGATTTAGAGAAAAAACAGCCCATTTAAATGTGAAATATGCTTGCTTCAGATGTGATTATCTAAAAATTAGAAATTCCATGTTTGTATTTATTTACTCCTTTGTTGGTTGCTTGTTTTTATTGGTGAAGCACTTGAAATATTGCAAATAAAAAATATAATTATCAGTCTTTCTCTGTTCATTTGTACTTATATAAATGAACTGTTTAAAGTTATGAATGATGACAGAAAAACATTTGGCTATCATAAGTATTAAAACAAAAAACAGTGAGTTCCTAGCGTAGAAACATAACAATTACATGATAATGTTAAGTAGACACCTTTCTATATCTTGCCAGGCTATATTATTCAATAAACACCTTTCTCTATCCTGACACGTTATAATTTTTGTTCTTCAGGTGTCAAGTTCTTGTATTAAACAGAAGACTTTCCTGGACAGACAAAAGATAGATCTGTTTTGTTCTTCAGGTGTCAAGTACTTGTATTAAACAGAAGACTTTCCTGGACAGACAAAATATAGATCTGTTTTGTCCTTCAGGTATCAAGTTCTTGTATTAAACAGAAGAACATGTCTACTTATGATACATCATTTAGATCTAGTTCTTTACCTCTTGACATGTCGACATATGATACATCATTTAGATCTAGTTCTTTACCTCTTGACATGTCGACATATGATACATCATTTAGATCTAGTTTTTACCCTATAACTTCTACCACATAGAATATAATGTTTAGTCATAGTTACTTACTCCTTCACATGTATACATAAAGTTGGTGTTTGGTAGTATTTACTTATTCCTCACCATGTAAATGTAAACATTAATGTTTAGTTACAGCTCATTACTCCTTTACTTGTAACACATAGTTGTTGATATTTCATTTTGGTTTATTACTCCTGAATACGTCCACATAAAATGTAATGTTTACATCCAGTTTATTACGTCTTTACAGGATAAATACTACTTAGTCTTGTTTAATTATTCCTTGCCACGTATACATAACTGTTAATGTTTGATTCTAGTTCATACTCCTTAAAATGTCCACATAAAAGATAGTGTTTAGACATAGTTAATTCTTCCTTACAATGTCCCATTTAGAATATCGTGTTTGGTCATGATTTGTTGGTCTTTTCCATATACACAACAGTTAATATTTAGAAATAGTTACTTATTCTTAACATGTATATTTAAATATAAATTTCCAATACAGTACATTTCCTCTTCTCACATAAATAGCAATACTTTCATCAAGACATTTTTTTGTTTCTGCTCTCTTCCTGTGTTAATTTTTTGGGGAGAAATTTTATACCAAGTAAAAAACTTTTTTTTTTTTTTTCACCGAAGCTTATGTTTCTACTTCAGAAATGTTATCATTTACTTCCTGCACAATTACCTAGGCTTCAGGTGGCTGTACTCGACTGAGGAATTGTCAGCTTTAATACATTAGGAGATTAATCGTTATATGACTTGACCTTTGTCGGCCTCGAGCTTGGTGGCCCACACACCTGGGTCTGCTGACTTTGGACAGATAAACTGTTAAACTCTTCTGGCTTTTTGAATATTTTGATTTATTATTATTTGTAGTTATTTGGTTTAGATAACGTATGTTTAGTTACATTTGTACCTACTTCTTGTAAGGTTAGGGAATGTTAATTAACATTTAGTGATATCCTTTGTACTACACTGTTAGATTAGGCTAAACATGCATCTTTGTAATTTTAGGCTTACCAGTCATTTATTAGGTTAAATATATTGTTTCTTCAACAAATACCACTTACTAATTTGTTATTGTCAATATACACTTACTTCATTTTAAAATATAACAACTTTTTCTTTTTCATAATTAATTACATTTTATACTTCTTAAAATTAATCTCGTTTGTGAGAACCACTGGGTTCGGAGTTTGGCCAATCTTCTCACAGTATGGTTCATCTTCCTCCTCAAACTGCCGAAATAATTCAGAACAATGTCTATTTTGACAATTTTCCTCCAGCTGAATATGAATTGCCTTCCTAGGCCTCTACTGCAGAGTCTGCTAGGCCTACCTCAGACTTTTTTATACACATTTCACAGTTGTCCCCCCTCCCTTACCAGATATTTTGGTTCATGCTGGTCCTTTATCTCTCTCTTTTTGAGAAATAGTGTTGGCATGCCTTGCCTTCCAGGGGCTTTAGTTCATTTGCCTTAGCTTACCATCAGGCAGATTGTTTTTCGTTTTGTTCCTTCTCTGCACTTTGAATCTCTGTTGCCTCCCTTTCTCTTTCTCCCTAGCCAAGTTTATCATCCTTTGTCTTCCTCTATTGCCTCTCCTACTGGTATTAGCCACCATACACCTCTTGGGAATTTTGTGGGATATCTTCCTCCTCCTTACCTCCATGTTGGGGCAATTGCCATCTTTGGCTCTTTCTCTACACACGTGGCTTCTTTACCTTTGGAAATCTTCTGGGATGGGACACTGTCTTGTACTAAGTTTGTTTCTATTCCACTTCTAATCGTGACTTACAGACAGCACTTTTTCATTCACCAGTCAATTTTGGGGGAAGAAGGGGTTTACTCCTGGGACTTTAACATCACGTGAGATAACTGTTTTGCTACATTCGTTTTTTCGTTTTTCATTGCTCATTTGTCTCTTTGGCTATTGCATTTTTATTCATGATGCATATCCAGTACCTTCCCGTCATTTACCTGTCCTACATCTAAGAGTTCCTCCATTAGTCACGTTTTCTCGATGCAGATTAGAGTTTGTGATTGATCTGTCCCACCTCATTCACTTCTCGATTCTTTCCCTTTTTCCTTGTATTGTCTTTTATCACACTATGGTGTTTTTTGTTCTCCAGGACTGAAGATGCGCAAAGTTGAAGTTTGTATTCATATGCCCATGTTCCTAGTTTTCATCCGACATAGCACTGTCTTTGGTTTGTTCACCACAGAGTTGGGTAACAATTTCGTGCCTTGCCCTTTGAGCTTGTTTTGGATCTGTATGTTTTTGTCTTCAGTTCCTCATTCACTTGCCTTAGCTGTCGATGCATTCAGATAGGATTGGGACATGCAAAGAAAAGAGGAAGAAAAAGAAGAAAAAACAAAGAAGGTGAGACTGAAAATAGAGAAAATAAGAACACAAAATGAGAAAGATTGATGACCCAAGAATGACAATGGGGACAGAGTTAGCCAACCAAAGCTGCCCAAATTTGGTGGACAGAAAGACGACATTGGATGCTTTTTTGGAGAGGTATGAAAGATTTGCCCAAAGTCAGAACAGGGACAAAGGTGACTGAACAGTCTGTCTTAGCTCCCTTCTTACAAGAAAAGGCCTCCAAGTGTATGTGGGCATGATGTCAGAAGATGCCATGGTCTATGACAAGTTAAATGTGGCCTTGCTGAAATGTTATGAACTTACAGAGCAAGGTTTTTGCTGGAAGTTCAGAGAAGTCAAACCTGACACTAAAGAAACTGTATTTCAGCTTGTAGCACATCTACAGCAACACTTCACAAGGTGGACTGACATGGCCAAGTGTGGAGATTGTTTTGAAGGACTGGCAGATCTACTGATAAGTGAATAGATCATGATCATCTGCTCCATTTACATGTCACTTTTCATAAAGGAGAGAGCATTAAAAGATGTGGATGAGATGATCAAGCTGGCAGAACAGTATATGGAAGCCCATGGAGGAAATATAACAGACCAAGAATAACTAAAGTTGAAACTAGGGGTGGCTGACTAGAAGCAGACAAATGGGACAAATGATATGCTTGTTATAAAATGAGGAACGTTGTGAGTGAAAATGTGTCACCAACAAGCAACTGAAGAAATTTCAACAAAAAGCAGCTGGAGCTACTTACAAAGAGTGACTACCACCATAGATGCTACTGCCAGAAGAAACAGAATGAAGACAACTCTTCAGATTCACCACAAGAAGGAAGTGCTATCACCATGATTAAACAGTGCATGACTGATAGTCAGCTCAAGAGGTTTTAACAAATCACAACTTGCCAGTAGGTGAATGCTATATTGGGGGACAAGAAAGTGAAAGTCCTAAAGAGACTGGGTACAACAGTGACAACCAGTCTAGTATTTGATAACCAGATGATTGGCAAGGTACATCTGTGAGTGTTGATTGATGGAACAGAGAGAAAGTTTTCCATAGCAAGAATAAAAGTGGACACTCCACACTACATGGGAGACTTTAAGGCCACGTGTATGAAGGCACCCATCTATGACTTGGTGATTGAAAATATACCAGGCAGTAGAAGTTTAGATGAACCAAACAGAAAGGAGATCAATGAGGTATCTGCAGTTACTGCAAGAGCTTAAGAAAAGCAAGCAAGATATCAAGCCTCTGCAAGTCTCGAAAGGTGACATCCCGAATGTAGGTCTACAGGAACTGAAGGAAGCACAAAAGAAAGACTCTTCACTGCAAAACATTTGGGACAGTGTCGAGGAGAAAGTCGAGCACAAGACAAAGGGGAAAAGGACTTACAGAATAGAGGACTGGAAGGGAATACTGTACCAGATATTTCGAGGCAGTTCTACTGGGGAAGTTAAACAGATCATAGTATCAATAGAATATTAGACCCAAGTGATGAAGCTGGCTCATGGGTCAATTTTGAGAGGATACATAGGAGCGAAGAAGATGGCAGATAGAATTACTAGCAACTTGCATTTGCCAGGGGGCATCACAAGTATGACCAGATTCTGCAGGTCATGTTACATCTGCTAAAGGACAGTACCTAGAGCAAAGGTAGCCAAGGTTCCACTGGATGAGATGCCTCTCATGGAAGTGCCATTCAGCAGAGTAGCTGTGGACTTGATTGGACCACTAGTACCTTACAAGGGCAACTGGTATGTGTTGAACAGTAGTTGACTATGTGACACGTTACACAGAAGCCATAGCACTGTTGAAGATAGAAATAGAGAGAGTAGCAGAAGCTCTCCTGGAAGTGTTCTCCAGAGTAGGCTTTTTAAAATAGGCATGAGTGGTTTACCTCAGCACTGATGCAAGAGGTGTGTAGACTCATCAGCACTAGGCAGCTCTTTACCACCCCAGATGTAACGGACTTTGTGAGAGAGTCAATGGAGTCTTAAAGAGCATGCTGAAGATGTGCCAGGAGAGACCACGTGATTAGGACAGGTACCTGCAGGCAGTATTATTTGTTTACAGAGAAGTCT